ACATAATGTAGTGGACATTCTGTCCCCCGCTGTATGTTTGTGTTATATGTTTGTGTTACATAATGTAGTGGACATTCTGTCCCCCGCTGTATGTTTGTGTTACATAATGTAGTGGACATTCTGTCCCCCGCTGTTATAATGTTTGTGTCCCATGGATGTTTGTGTTACATAATGTAGTGGACATTCTGTCCCCTGCTGTTTGTTTGTGTTATATGTTTGTGTTACATAATGTAGTGGACATTCTGTCCCCCCGCTGTATGTTTGTGTTATATGTTTGTGTTACATAATGTAGTGGACATTCTGTCCCCTGCTGTATGTTTGTGTTACATAATGTAGTGAACATTCTGTCCCCTGCTGTATGTTTGTGGTACATAATGTGGTGGACGTTCTGTCTCCTGATGTATGTTTGTGTTACATACTGTAGCGGACAAAGTGTATTTTACAAGCTGTCAGTTTCCCTTCACTGATCGTCAACAGTACAATGATGCTCCTGCTCAATGATCGTCCCATATTTTGGTTCTCACTTGAAATATTTAGCGGATATGATAATAATGGTGATGTGTTGATAATGGTGTCAGGTTTCACCAACCGCCATGCTCAGTATCACATTTGCTTACAGCACCCCTCTCACTTCTCCATCTTCGACCACTCTACATCACCAACCTCTACGTCATGAGGAGAGACTAACGGGATCGGGTGGTCAGGCTCTCTGGCTTGGTTGACACATGTCATCGGATCCCAATTGCGCAGATCGATGCTCATGCTGTTGATCACTGGATTGTCTGGTCCAGACTCGATTATTTACAGACCGCCGTCATATAGCTGGAATATTGCTGAGTGCGGCGTAAAACTAAACTCACTCACTCATGAGGAGAACCCTGCATTAACGAGAGACAAGACGTTTGCCGCTTTGTGAAAACCCATAAGCAATGTTTAGATATTTAAATCATACTGATCGGACCAAAAATAATGATCATGGATTCGAACCCACACCAGTACAGCGCGTATAGGGCGTAACGTTGAATGATTAGTGACACACCACATACCCATCCATATGGAATTGAACTGCGTTGCAGGGAACAATGAAATTCATTGGGTTCGGCGATGAAAGTGATGACTAGCCAATGATTTTTGACATGTAACGATATACATGGAACCATGCTCACTTGGGCGTGAAACACTCTTACTCACTCACCCACTCACCCACTCACCCACCCACCGACCCACCCACCTTCACTCACTCACACACTCACTCACTCACTCACTCACTCTCACTCTCACTCACTCACTCACTCACTCACTCCAACAACCTACTTGACAGCCCAGACCCTTTCATTCCTACCCATATCTTTCAATAACGGGTAGCTGTTACAAATACATGTACTTCCTTTAATCAGCGCCTGGACGTGTATTAGACCTCATTTCGTAATGGCGATACGCTCCTGGCTCCATTGCACATTGTAGAGCAACGGTATAATAATTCATAATCTTACGCTTTTAAAATCGGCTTTGCAGCTCTGTCGCAACGCTGAACAGGACCTTGGCGTCATTTGAAGATTTTACGAGCGCGTAATTCGCTCCATACCACAAACCCTCTCTGAGTATTGTCCCTTATACTGTTGCAAGAATTCGTTTAAAGTACACTTGCTTACTTGCTTATATATTTCGAGCTTATTCTTAGCTGAGGGCTTTTAAGTCAGACTAGAGTATTTTTGTCTACAGATGATATAACTGAAATCATCAATGTGTTCTCTCTTCGTGGGGACTCGGTTGTATATATGGATATGGCTATGTTGTGAATCCGTGAAGATCGGGGCTAGAATTTTCAGTAACCCAAGCTTGTAGATGTGGAAATGAATGTAGATATGAACTTGAATGTAGATACTGATATGGAAACGAATGTAGATATTGATATTGAAATGAATGTAGATATGAACATGAATGTAGATATTGATATGGAAACGGATGTAGGTACTGATATGGAAACGAATGTAGATATTGATATGGAAACGAATGTAGATATTGATACGGAAATGAATGTAGGTACTGATAAGGAAATAGATATTGATACGGAAACGAACGTAGATATTGATATAGAAACGGATGTAGATATTAAAATGGAAATGAATGTAGATATTGATATGGAAATGAATGTAGGTACTGATAAGGAAATAGATATTGATACGAAAACGAATGTAGATATTGATATGGAAACGGATGTAGATATTAAAATGGAAATGAATGTAGATATTGATATGGAAATGAATGTAGATATTGATATGGAAATGATATGGATGTAGATATTGATATGGAAACGGATGTAGATATTGATATGGAAACGGATGTAGATATTAAAATGGAAATGAATGTAGATATTGATATGGAAATGAATGTAGATATTGATATGGAAATGAATGTAGATATTGATATGGAAACGAATGTAGATATTGATATGGAAACGGATGTAGATATTAAAATGGAAATGAATGTAGATATGGAATATGGAATATATGAATGTAGATATTGAAATGTAGATATGAATGGAAACGAAATGTAGATAAGATATTGATATGGAAACGGATGAATGTAGATATTGATATGGAAATGAATGTAGATATTGATATGGAAACGAATGTAGATATTGATATGGAAATAGATGTAGATATTGATATGGAAACGAATGTAGATATTGATATGGAAACGGATGTAGATATTGATATGGAAACGAATGTAGATATTGATATGGAAATGAATAGATATTGATATGGAAATGAATGATAGATATTGATATGGAAACGAATGTAGATATTGAAATGGAAATATGAAATGAAATGAATGATATTAAAATATGATATATGGAAATGAATGTAGATATTGAAATGAAATGAATGTAGATATTGATATGGAAATGAATGTAGATATTGATATGGAAATGAGATGTATGATATTGTAGATATTGAATGGAAATGAATGTAGATATTGATATGGAAACGGATGTAGATATTGATATGGAAATGAATGTAGATATTGATATGGAAATGAAATGATATGTAGATATTGATATGGAAATGAATGTAGATATTGATATGGAAACGAATGTAGATATTGATATGGAAACGAATGTAGATATTGATATGGAAACGGATGTAGATATTAAAATGGAAATGATGTAGATATGATATGGAAATGAATGTAGATATTGATATGGAAACGAATGTAGATATTGATATGGAAACGGATGGATAACAGATGTAGATATTGATATGGAAATGAAATGATGTAGATATTGATATGGAAATGAATGTAGATATTGATATGGAAATGAATGTAGATATTGATATGAATGTAATATTGATATGGAAACGAATGTAGATATTGATATGGAAACAGATGTAGATATTGATATGGAAACGAATGTAGATATTGATATGGAAACGGATGTAGATATTGATATGGAAATGAATGTAGATATTGATATGGAAATGAATGTAGATATTGATATGGAAACGGATGTAGATATTAAAATGGAAATAAATGTAGATATGGAAATGAATGTAGATATGAACATGAATGTAGATATTGATATAGAAATGAATGTAGATATTGATATGGAAATGAATGTAGGTACTGATAAGGAAATAGATATTGATACGGAAACGAATGTAGATATTGATATGGAAACGGATGTAGATATTAAAATGGAAATGAATGTAGATAGATATGGAAATGGTAGATATGATATGGAAATATGATATGATATGAAATGAATGTAGATATTGAATATTGATATGGAAATGAATGTAGATATTGATATGGAAACGGATGTAGATATTGATATGGAAATGAATGTAGATATTGATATGGAAATGAATGTAGATATTGATATGGAAATGAATGTAGATATTGATATGGAAATGAATGTAGATATTGATATGGAAACGAATGTAGATATTAAAATGGAAATGAATGTAGATATGGAAATGAATACAGATATTGATATGGAAATGAATCCAGATATTGATATGGAAACGAATGTAGATATGGAAATGAATGTAGATATTGATATGGAAATGAATGTAGATATTGATATGGAAACGGATGTAGATATTGATATTGAAATGAATGTAGATATTGATATGGAAATGAATGTAGATATTGATATGGAAACGGATGTAGATATTGATATGGAAATGAATGTAGATATTGATATGGAAATGAATGTAGATATTGATATGGAAATGAATGTAGATATTGATATGGAAATGGATGTAGATATTGATATGGAAATTGTAGATATTGATATGGAAATTAATTGTAGATATTGATATGGAAATTAATTGTAGATATTGATATAGAAATTAATTGTAGATATTGAAATCGAGATGTATGTATTGAATGTAAGTATTGATATGGATGTAGATAGTGGTATGGATGGAAATGTCAGTATGCACGAAAGATATTGAGATCGATGTCGATATAAAAGTCGATGTATACATTGATTAAGACGTCCCTTTTGAAATAGATGTAGATGTGGAAATGTCTGTAGACAGTAATATGAAAATGGACTGTGACATAAATATTGAGGTGTGTCCTCGCATGTTACCACATGTTACCTCGCATATCCTGTTCAAATAATTGTCTTTAAATGATTGAAAGTCATCGCTTAAAATCTTTCCTCCAGTAAAGACACCTGCAAGACAAACATCTAATCCACAATCACCCTATAGTCGTAGACCTGGCCTCCGATCTACATAGCGATCTTAGCTCTACGTCTATAGTAAGCCGATGTTAATGTGTGGGAGATACGATCACTTTAGCACTAAGATCCCTCACTACCTGCATTTCAATTGTCACACATTGACCCAGATTGGCACTTGTCTCAGACGTAGGCGCAGTCTAGTCGAAGTTGCGTTGCGTTGCGTTGCGTTGCGTTGCGTTGCGTAGCGTTGCGTTGAGACGTGGGAGGAGGAAACGTACATACAGTTAACGACAAAACGGCGTAAGTTTGATAATTTTTATTTCAATATTGAAATTAGTTTACAAAGCAAATAAATATTTTAAAAAGTACGTCACAATACAACGCAGGCCCTGGCTGAGAAGTAACATGCAAAGGACGTATCTATCTACATAATAACGACAGGTCATTACTCAAGGTAAAGTTATAAAAGGCCACATGTGACAAGAATGTTAGATTCAATAGAAAAATAATAATATTCGTGTTACACCATTAACCATGCCAAACTGGGCATTTAACTGGACCTAAATTCGATTTTATGCTAGTGTTCTAGGATACACCTACTACGAATTGGAGGAGACTGATCTACCACTCTTGCCACATTGTTAAAATATGAAAACATCGGTCGTTCATTTCATCATTCGTTCATTCTTTCATTCATCTGTTCTGTCAAACGCTTGCATACAAGGTCGTTGAGATACCCAACACACAGCAGATAGATACACGAAACCTCAAGAGGTAGTTGTCTTTTGTAAACCCTCCATAAGCCCCTTCATATATAATCTTAAAAATAGAATTTCAGATGTATAACACATGATTCTTTCATTAATCAATAATCACACATAGAACTGTGTTGCATTAACACGAAAACAAAGGACAAAATGAGTGTACAGATTTCAGTATTCTACAGCTATACATTTAATTTGAAACGATTTGATCACAAATGTTCTAGACATCATACACTACTGACAATGTCACTGTTTTCAAAATGATGTTTATCATAAAAGCCTCTTTGAATTCATGAAAATATTATATAAAACTCCAATATAACAAGTGCAATTATAAATACAAGTAAAACGAAATGTACATTAAAAGTTATACATTCACACCTTTCGTACATGACTGACAGTCATTCATTTCTAACAACTTGCCACAGAAAGACAAGTGAGATGAAATATGATAACTAAATAGCTAATTAAAACAACTAGAATGCTGACAATACACCTCTATGAAGCTGCCGAATCCAGTAATTTAGTATTACGATATATGTACAAACCAAACAAGGCACATATACACACCTGGCGCATATACATTAGATTACTAATATACATATGTATAAAACGGTGTCGATTACTTGTATATTTCAGAGTATGGTTTCCGACTTAGAAACAGTACACAGGGTATGGCGATATTCCTTTTGTGAAGTGTATCTAACACGATGTACATTACAAGTATGTTCGCAATCACAGTGTCATCTTCAAATAAAGGTCATCGCAAGATAAAGACGTTTGCCGTTTGATGGGGGTGGTAACTCGATGCTACAGATGAGAATACCAAACAAGATGACATCGAAAAGGTTGTCATCTTACTAAGGATGGATTCTTAGTATTCAGTTGGCTTTCATCACACGAACGGCAGTGTTAATAATAGTTTTCTTGTCGAAATATAACCACAATGAACAATAGTAGCGCTACGAGGGTCTTGATGGGGTATCCTGTTTAGCGTAAAACAACTTAAAACATATTGAAAACGCAATATGGCTCCAATTTGAGATAAATTTCAAGGTAAAAATGGCAATTCGGAACTACTCCGTTTTACTGTTTATTGTATAATTGCAATCTACCTGACTCTCGTATATGACTAGATCCAGCAAGATAACAGAATGTGGGATTTTTCAAACCAGGTACTAAAGCGATGGATCGAACGCCGAACCAGCAACCGCCATGTTTCATTACAGACAGACACATGTGCGATTAAAATTTACAGCATGTACCCTATTGATTTGTTCAACAAATTGAAAAGTCTGACTAAAGATCCCAAATATTACCTCCCCTACCCCACCAGGATCCCTCGGCGTTATCACATATAATGATGCATATGCAAGCACGACACAAGAACATGTGCGTCAAACTAGAAGCCGACGTCTAGACAATAGTCACATTTCTGTCGGTATATTCTGATCTGTGCCATCTTTTATCATGAAAGTGCATTAGTCAAATTCGTTTGGTGAGTCCGATAATTATTAATTCTAATTTTGACAGATTTTGTTTAATATGAAATGACTCTTGCCTCTCATCCATTCAACATAATTATTGTTACAAATTTCGACAAATGTCCAGCCTCGAAATTCTTCATCGCAATCACCGACACTTCGGACAACTGTTTTATGTTGTTTCTTAGTGAACCGAATTTTAATTTCGTACGGGTTGCGTTCGTCATTTTTCAATTGGCTACAACATCTGGATGTACAAGAGGTCATATTCGAGTCAGTCCGGAAAAGAGACGAGTTGTGATTGAGTGCGTTAGTGAACGAAAAGGGAAATCATTGCCACAACCTCAGAACGGATATCTAAAATTGGACGTTGATAACATGCTTTGCCTGAAGAGATGAGAATACCACGTATAAAACCCACAGGCTTATCAAGATTGCACCGCTAATCCATTTGGTGATCTTTGGCCCCCCAAGTTCACCTTTGCCGAACGCACCAACGAACCGTCGAGTTATGAAGAGCGAAATGGCAATAATGGCAGCAACTGTATACAACACCACACTGAATCCTAGAGAGCCTGCTGGCACCACGAAGATCTTGCCCTGCAAAAGGAAAATAGTGAGTAAGGGGGGGTTGACGCTTTGGACAGTATTCAAATTACATCTCCATCTGTCAGCCTGATTCAGAATACAAATCCGGAAATATGCATTTGTCAGATGTTAACCACTTTATTGAATCCTACGATGCCAACAAACCCAGAAACATTAATGGAGCGAACCAGAGCCGGAACCTACAGCACGTTTCCGGCGTGCGCAAAGAACGCAACTGCGCACAGAGAATTGCAGGACGACTTGGTCATCCATGTCCCCATACTCAGAGATGTGATGCGATTTAGACGCATGCTTGAATAATGACTCACCTGTGCAGCCCAGTATATGGTTGCAATGACCCAAGGAAGGCCAAGACCAAGGAACACGTTGACAGAGTTACTGCCGTTGACGTTGCCCACTGAGCTGTCAGCGTATTTCTCCATCGTTGCCGCCGTCTTACTGGCAAACGTGTCTGGCATACTGGTTCCCAAGGCAACCAACGTGATAGCGGTGATTGTTTTTTCCAGACCAATCAGGCAGCCGAATATGGTGGCAAGGTCGCCGATGATGGCGGTCAGAAAACCGATAACAGCTAAGGAAATGAGGAATGTTGGCCATCCTCCTAAGTACTGGGTTGGAGGGACAAAGGCGAACAGGATCTGGAAAAATAAAAACAAACAACATAGTGATGTGTGCAACTTTGTTTTATATTAACGTAATTTTTTCAAAGCTGGCATCAATGCGGGCACGAATACTGTTCATCTAAAACGATGATGAACAGACGATGTTTGAAAACATGACAACAGTCAGTCTGTCATGATGTTGCCGACACCTCTGAATATCAGTATTAGCGATGGACTCTGAAATTTCTACAGAACTGGAGTCCAAAGGCTTATGTTACCATTGATTGAGAGCATAACCACAAATTACCCCCCAACAAAAAAACAACAACAAAACACAAAACAAAACAGAAAAAACAACAGAAAAAATAACCCCTCCCCTACAAAAACAAAATGAAAAACAACTACAAAAAGCAAAACAAATACCCCCCAAAAAACAAAACAAAACAAAACCTTAAAAGAAAAAAATCCCCAAACAAACAAAACAATAACTACAGCAACCCCTCCAAACAAAAACAAAACCCAAACCAAACAAAACAAAAAACAACACAAAAAAACACAGATACACGATCGTGCACAGTAAGCCATGTCATCGAGCTTGACCACTCGTGGCCCTTCACTTTGGTACCACATTTATGGCAAAACTTTGCATCCTATATTGGCAGTGTTTCCTGAATTGTTTTCAGCCAAGTAACGTTTCGATAACGTTTGTCATGTTTCGGAGAAATCCAATTGTGTATATCCTCTTTTTTTGTCACATGTTTACGATTATATATTTATGATTCAAATTTCGGAACCATGTTGCGTTTGCTTCATTTCACAAACAGGTAAAAATTGGTTAATACAATGGTTATTCCCTGGGTTTACCTTCCAGAAGAAGGTACAGAAGTGCAGAATGTAGTCAATGAAGGTGGCGTTCTCAATATCGCCGCCGTTCACGTTCATGGCATCCTTGAACTGGGTGACGTATGTGGATTTCTCCAGTTGCAGGGAGTCGAGGTTGGCCTTCGTCAGGCTGACAATACGGCTCACCAAACCATTGAACTCTGAAATACAGATCGTCAAAATATACCATCGTTAGGGTCAGCATGGCATGATTGATATTATGCTCAGGCAGAAAAATCACCTCGTCTTACCTCAAGGAGACTGATCCAACATGGCAAGTTGGAAAGAATTTAACAAAGACGTGATAACCATTTTTACAAGTTTATAGGCATTGTGTTAACCCTGACGTCGATTATGAAGTACCTTCATCATTGACAATGGTGATGATGCATTTGGTAATTTTGCCGACCGTGGCACCGCCGTCTGTCTCGAAGAGCTCAATCTGGAAACTTTCATCTCGCTCCGGTTTCTGTGTGACAAGAATGTGGAACTTGTATATACATATAAAGTCAATTTGCAAGTTGTCCATCGGCTTCGATGTGGTTTTAAGCCGCCTTTAGCAGTATTTTAGCAACTTCATGGCCGTGGACACCATTAATGCGCAACACACTTTGTACCCATGTCGGGAGTAGAACCAAGACCTTTCGGCGCTCCATCCACTCGGCTATTACATAGAAACAATAGGACCAGTACATTGACCTGGTATACTTTACAGGAAAGATTAATATACATCCAGGAAAGCAAATAAAGTCTGACTGAGTGCACGATCCGCCGATCTTGACTTAGCAAACTCTGAATTCAAAACGTCAGTGCACGAGAAAAACTTAATTCTATCTCGACAACTTCGTACGAGTGATGATATGTAAATGAGTGAATCGCTGAAAATCCTTGATGGCACGAGGTGTTCCCGAAAGGAACAGCACATATGAAGAATATGAAAAATGTATGATCCATATTTCGTTTCTGTAAACCGTTATGAAAAAAGTCTAAATTAATCAATAAAAAAATCAGTGAAAAAATAGGACGCAATAAATCAGTGTATGAAATAAGGCCCATCCGACCGCCCGAGACGGGTTAGATTTCAGACGGATGGTCTAGATTTACAGCTAGCCAGCCCGATGGTCTGGTAAAAATTTAGATGTTATATGCATCTAAGTCATATTTTGGTGTCTGGTCTGGTTAAATCCATTTTGGACTGGTAACAATTTGAAGTTACCAGCCCTGATGTCTGGCTGGGGTTTTGGCTTATTTCATAAATGTCTTAGACCATCAGACGGTATTAATGTCATGTGCAAGAAATCGTCCCTCTGAAGCAAGCAGTACCATTAATCGTTACGCTCATTTGCATTAATGAGCATTAGGTTTCAAACAAGCAGTTTGGTATTCCCACTTTCCCGAGTCTGATGGCCCTTCAGATCAACACCAACTTACGTTGCTCTCAAAGATAGGCAGGTCGATGGTCTTGCTTGTTTCCTGGTTGTCAAATTTCAGTGTCCCCTCTCCTCCCTCGTAATCCTTGTTGCTGAAGGCAGTGATGTCCTTGGTCTTCCACGTCACAGACACATGACCGTCAGCGCCGTTTTTACGTGAAACTGGGATAGATGCCAGTCGACTGCTCTCCTTCACGACAATGCTGGGCTTGGCAAACTCCAGCAAGCCCGGCTCTGTGGAGAGAAGATATGGTCATGTGGTTACCTGGAGCGAGAAGGTGGTTTCTCCATCTTAAACAGCCATGTGTTTGTCCTTTCGGTAGCAACAAGACCATTACATACAGTATGAAAACCAATGATTGACAGACTAAGCACCAGTTCCATCAATAAGGACTGAGCATGGTGTTACTACCCTTTTAACAATATGTTGCGACATCACATATGTACCCATATTTGGAATGGAAATCGGATGAGCGAACGTTTTGACCCCTTCGTTACCCTTATGCCGCTAAGAACGGCTATCAGACCAGCTGGTGTTCTCGAGTTACTCCTTATGTTTATCCAACACTGTAACAATCGAGGGTTTGGGTGGTGGTGGTGGTGGGTAGCCTCGTGGTTAAAACGTTTGCTCGTCCCGCCGATAACCCGCGTTCGTTTCCCGAAATCGGTGCGATTTGTGAAACCCGTTTGTGATGTGCCCCGCCGTGACATTGCTGGAATATTGCTAAGAGCGGCATAACATCATACTCACTCACTCACTATATATAAATGGTGTCTAACAGACATTAAACTCTATGTATGCAGGTTGCCCGACGTGTACGTACCATCGTCGTTGATGATGGTCACCTGGCAGATGGCGATGTTGCCGAATGCGATTTCTTGCTCAGGCTCCGCAGCCATTTTCACAAAGAAGAACTCATCTGGTTCCCATTCACAGTCGTCAACGATCTCAATGTAGATCTGGCGGAGGATTTCATTGGCGGCAAATTTGACTTTCTCATCAAACGGCTTGTAGTCTTCGCCGGCCAGAGCAGTGCCGTTGATGGTTTCGACTCTGAAAAATGTAATCGTCGTTAAGCGATTTTTCATTTACTTAATGCGACTGATACCCTAAAGAGGCTTGAAAATTTACGGTTACACGCCGGTTGTCAGCAAAATAATATGGTGACGTATCGCAAATAACAGGTAAAGGGTTGATCGAGCAGGGTTAAATGTAGGGGCGGTTCGAGCCGACGAACCATTTGGCACCCCAAGCCCTGATAACTTATCAAATTATGAAAATGAATGAAACACATATAATGCCGCTTCTCAGATTTGCCGTATAGACTAGTTTATAATATACTATTCGTATAATTTTATTTGTTCCTCTTATTGGTAACTTAGAAACACATCAATCAACAGACATTCACTGGAACGTCATATCAACACTTTGCGCCAATTAACTGGTCGGGGAAAAATGTTGTTGAAAATATCATTAACGTTACTGCCACGACAGACCAACAGAAAACCATTTTTTCGTACCTCCAATAACATAACACTGTACTATTATTATAGAACAACACGTCACAAAGGGTGTAAAAATCCATGAACTGAAGTATGTATAATGCCAATAACAGATGTAAGCATATTGTAATCAACTTCAGTATGTATAATTTTATCGACAGAAGTATGTATAATGTCACCAACTTCAGTATGTATGTCATCAACAGATGTAAGCATAATGTCATCAACTTCAGTATGTATAATTTTATGGACAGAAGTATGTATAATGTCACCAACTTCAGTATGTCATCAACAGATGTAAGCATAATGTCACCAACTTCAGTATGTATGTCATCAACAGATATAAGCATGTCATCAACTTCAGTATGTATAATGTCATCAACTTCAGCATGTATAATTTCATCCACAGAAGTATGTATAATTTCATCAACAGATATAAGCATAATGTCATCAACTTCAGTATGTATAATGTCATCAACTTCAGTATGTTTAATGTCATCCACAGAAGTATGTATAATGTCATCCACAGAAGTATGTATAATGTGTACAAAGTCATTATTAGAAGCATCTATAAAGCCATTAACAGATATATGTGTAATACCATCAACATAAGGATACATAATGTCATCAACAGAACAATGTATAATGATAAAGACAGAAGCGTGTGTTATGTCACCAACAGACGTACGTACAATGACAACAACAGATGCATGTGTAATATGAACAGATGCATGAACAGATGAACAGATACCATGTTACCCACCTCACGGTGACAGGGACGTCCAGTTTGCCATGACGACGGATTCCGATTCTGACTTTCCCCTCGTTCTCCATGACTGCAACAGCGGCGGCGGTGAACTCGATGACAGGCTTGCGTCCTCCGTCACTGTGGTCGACATTCTTAGTCATGGATTTAGCACGGTCTCCTCGTTCCTCCTCCGGCAGCTGAATACGCTCGTACAGCTGGAGATGTAGTGATACAGACATCAGTTAAACAGGTGAGGGATAGTGGGCGTATTGTGCCTTCGGTGATATGGCTTGGTGCTAACATTTACATGTATACCCACATCAAACATGCTGTGAAATGTATGTAATAGATGAGGTAAACATCTGATGACTTAGGATTAAGTCTTGTCCAAGAGATCTGTTGGATTGGCATCCAGTCTTGTTTTACAGACTTGTTGAATTAGCTTCTTGCTTGATTTAACAGATCTGTGGAATTGGCACCTAGCCTTGTTTTACTGACTTGTTGAATTAGCCTCAAGTCTAATTTAACATATCTGTAGAATTGGCATCTGGCCTTGCTTTACAGACTTGTTGAATTAGCCTCAAGCCTGATTCAACAGATCTGTTGAATTGACATCTGGCTTTGTGTTACTAATTGAGTCACGCCTGGTTTAAATCATCTGTTGAAATGGACTCTTTTTGTAGATATTTATTCAGTTTGAACTGATGTGTTGAAACGACGGCATTTGGTAATTAATACTATTCAGTGGGATGGTCGCCTGGTTAGGTAAGCTCATATTGGACTCCTAGCATGATTACATAAACAGTGGAATAAACCTCTAGTTTCGTCTAACTGATCTGGTGTAAGTGTAGGATTGACCTGTGTATATTTTCAACTTAGATTTGGAATCGGAATTCGAGAATGATTAGACTAATTGCATACTGACATTTGACTCTCGGATCTATATATCTCAGATGTTACTCAACACAGCATCATTATACGTAATGAAGTAAACAGATCTAGTTCCTTCACTGGTATTAGTTGTTCCCTGAATACATATTGTTGAAGCGTACATCATGACTTGTGATCGAACAGGGTTTAACGCCGCTTTGAACATTATTCCAATGATATCGCACGTGTAAGCTTGATGTAGGAGGAAATCCCGAAGTAATGCAGGCCAACTTTGATGAAACCCTCGAATACGGATGTAGTCCTGACGAACCTAACCAGGGTTAACCGAGACATAAACCCACGATCACAGGTTTCTGGTGTCCCCAAGGGAGGTAACTCAGCATTGAGTCTGGGTCACCCATGCCCGAATTGGACATGTACACACAATCTCTACATAATAACACACAGCATGCAAAAGGGACTGTTTCCATTCTAAGGATTGTATGACATTACTATTATTTAACACCAAAGTATACATAGTCCTTGGTATATACTTTTTGTTCTGACACACACACAAAATATATAACAAACCTTTCTTCTGCAGCGGAAAACGTGTGAAAAGAAAACCAAAGGTGCAAGATATTCGATTTGGTTTCACTGGACCATTGCATAATATGTATATACATAGTAAGTACAAAACACCGGCGTTATGTAAAATGTCACCACTGTGTAGAGAAGGGATAGTGGGTTGCTAATCGTCAACCGGAAAACATTATCTACTGAAATACCCAAATCAAAAGCATTTGAAACATAAATATAGGAAATTACGAAAAATGTGAAATTCCTGTATTTTGTAAACTAGAAAATTTTAAACAAAAAGGCTACAAATTAATAAATTCGTTGAAGTCTTCGATACACAAATCACCAATAAATGTTGGATGCAGAAGTGATTTCGACTTGAGAAGCTTGATGAAATTCATGTAAAATGTTTATACCATATGTATGTTGATTCGACGTTCGGAAACCTGATAATTCATCCTGAACGAGTTCTATTTCAAATATTTGTTATTGTTATAATATTCTTCGGAAGGCAGTAGCGACTTGCTCTAGTTTAGTATGTTACGTTTCAAGTCCACACACTGCAAACAAGTTTCAAGGAAAACCGTTTCTAATTAATCGTCAAATTGCAACTGTCTTCGTTACAGTTAACATCTGCAATGTCGCGTTTCCTTTGGCCAGAACACACTCAGAAAGAAAGACAACCTAACATTTCTCCATCATAAACACACAGGATCTTTCAGCATGCATTTGCTTTGCAGTATGTTTGCATTACGTGGAAAATGATATTTGCATTGATAAAATACTTAAGGTTAAATAAGTAGAGATATGTTATAAAGAAGGTGTCGTGTTATCATTCTGTGCCAGTCTTCATAAATAGATGTTTTTAATAGGAGATAAATGGTAACAAAGTTACTGAAGCAGAAATGAATGTTGTTATTCATTTCTGCAAATTAACGAAAGAAATGACAGTGCAGTTCTAATGTATGCTTACAATGCCCTTGCATGAGGCTGTGTAACATATGTATTAGACGAGTAAAGCATAGCATATCGACGTCGTTATTGTTATTGTGTATGAGGGTGTAAGCCTATGATCAGTTGTGCGCGACTGTTTCAGTTTTACTGGTAATATCGTGTCTGTACGTGAACATTCTGCAATAATTTGCATACATTCTACATAGCTGATGGCGTTTGATGGCCCCAGGAGGTTCTAATGTCCATGCATAAATGCAACTATTCGGATACTTTGTCATGGTTTAATCTGGCTACAGAGTCAGCTGGTTTTGAAACGTTTATCTCATGGCCATGCAGATTAGAATTCAGAGACATTACCAAATGTTTCAAGATTTATTTGAGAAGTCAGAATCTCAGTGGTTCAGAACAACCAATCGCGATATTTCAGAAGTAACAATCATATTCCTTTCCATGGTTTAACAGTATTTTTATATTTCACTATTTTGTTGAAGTTACAGCATCCCCGTTCTCTGTATCCATGGTTACACATAATCCATTTATATCTCTCTCGATGATTTAGCACCCCTTGTATCTATGTCCATGGATACACGAAGTCCACGTCTATCTCTCTTGATGGATAGCATCCGTTATATCTGTGTCCATGGTTACACAAAGTCCACCTCTATCTCCCTCGATGGTTTAGCATCCCTTATATCTGTGTCCATGGATACACAAAGTCCACCTCTATCTCCCTCGATGGTTTAGCATCCCTTATATCTGTGTCCATGGATACACAGAGTTCACCTCTATCTCCCTCGATGGTTTAGCATCCCTTATATCTGTGTCCATGGATACACAAAGTCCACCGCTATCTCTCTCGATGGTTTAGCATCCCTTATATCAGTGTTCATGGATACACAAAGTCCACCTCTATCTCTCTCGATGGTTTAGCATCCCTTATATCTACGTCCATAGATACACAAAGTCCACCTCTATCTCTCTCGATGGTTTAGCATCCCTAACATCTGTGTCCATGGATACACAAAGTCCACCTCTATCTCTCTCGACTGTTTAGCACCCCTTATATCTGTGTCCATGGATACACAAAGTCCACCTCTATCTCTCGATGGTTTTAGCATCCCTAACATCTGTGTCCATGGATACACAAAGTCCACCTCTATCTCTCTCGATTGTTTAGCACCCCTTATATCTGTGTCCATGGATACACAAAGCCACCTCTATCTCTCTCGATGGTATAGCATCCCTTATATCTGTGTCCATGGATACACAAAGTCCACCTCTATCTCTCTCAATGGTTTAGCACCCCTTATATCTGTGTCCATGGATACACAAAGTCCACCTCTATCTCTCGGTGGTTTAGAATCCATTATATCTGTGTCCATGGATACACAGAATTCACCTCTATCTCCCTCGATGGTTTAGCATCCCTTATATCTGTGTCCATGGATACACAAAGTCCACCGCTATCTCTCTCGATGGTTTAGCATCCCTTATATCTACGTCCATAGATACACAAAGTCCACCTCTATCTCTCTCGATGGTTTAGCATCCCTAACATCTGTGTCCATGGATACACAAAGTCCACCTCTATCTCTCTCGATTGTTTAGCGCCCCTTATATCTGTGTCCATGGATACACAAAGTCCACCTCGATCCCTCTCGATGGTTTTAGCATCCCTAACATCTGTGTCCATGGATACACAAAGTCCACCTCTATCTCTCTCGATTGTTTAGCACCCCTTATATCTGTGTCCATGGATACACAAAGCCACCTCTATCTCTCTCGATGGTTTAGCACCCCTTATATCTGTGTCCATGGATACACAACGTCCACCTCTATCTCTCGATGGTTTAGCATCCATTATATCTGTGTCCATGGATACACAAAGTCAACTTCTATCTCCCTCGATGGTTTAGCATCCCCTATCTCTATGTTCATGGTTACACATCATCCATCTGCATCCCTTTCGATGGTTTAGCATTCCTTTATATCTGTGTCCATGGCTGCATATCACCCATCTCTATCTCCCTCGGTGGTTCAGCATCCCCTATCTCATTGTTCATGGTTACACATCATCCATCTGCATCCCTTTCGATGGTTTAGCATTCCTTTATATCTGTGTCCATGGCTGCATATCACCCATCTCTATCACCCTCGATGGTTTAGCATCCCCTATCTCTATGTTCATGGTTACACATCATCCATCTGCATCCCTTTCGATGGTTTAGCATTCCTTTATATCTGTTTCCATGGCTGCATATCACCCATCTCTATCTCTCTCGATGGTTTAGCATCCCCTGTCTCTATGTTCATGGTTACACATCATCCATCTGCAACCCTTTCGATGGTTTAGCATTCCTTTATATCTGTGTCCATGGCTGCATATCACCCATCTCTATCTCCCTCGATGGTTTAGCATCCCCTATCTCTATGTTCATGGTTACACATCATCCATCTGCATCCCTTTCGATGGTTTAGCATTTCTTTATATCTGTGTCCATGGTTACACATAATCCATCTCTATCTCCCTCGGTGGTTTAGCATCCCCTGTCTCTATGTTCATGGTTACACATCACCCATCTGCATCCCTCTCGATGGTTTAGCATTCCTTTAAATCTGTGTCCATGGTTACACATAATCCATCTCTATCTCCCTCGGTGGTTTAGCATCCCTTATATCAGTGTACATGTTTATACATAATCAACACCTCCCATTTCTCTCGCCATGGTTACAAACCATTCAACCTCTCTCTCTAATTCTCACTCTCAATCACTCTCGCAAATGTTTACAATCATCCATCTCTATCGCCATTGTTACACATCATCCATCTCTCGCTCTCTCCCTCCCTCCATCCTCTCTCTCTTTCTCTCTCTCTCCCTCCCTCTCTCTCTCTCTCTCTCGCGATGTTTCAGAACACCCCTATCTTTTCTATCTTAAGGGTTCAACATCATCCATCACTATCGGTTCTTTAAAACCACCCATCTATGACCGATAGTTCAACATCACCCATCTCTACTGTCAGTTTTGATCACGTTCTACTGTTGTGGCTCTACGGTCATATCGTGGTGATGCTGCAAGGTGCACGAAGTGAGGGAGGACTAAAGTAAGGAAGCATGCGTCTAAATTCAACCAAACGTTGAAACAAAACTAAACGGTAGAGGAGACATTGAGAATGCAGGTTACATACCTTTCGATCAGCTAACTGTCCAGAATCAGAACAAAATAATTCAAATGCTTTATTCTAAAGCCCATGTGAAAGAAAACTGCACAATAAGCTGTTTAAAACTAGCAAGCAGGGAAAGGCGTTGCTGGTTATAGAAATTATTAGATAACTGGATATTCATAGTTGACATATTGTAATAACATATTAAAACAAATACAACCTGCAAACATTAAATTTTATTAAATTAAAAGACGCAGTATCACATGTTATTTAGGAGTTTTTGCGAAACATTTCCACAGATTAGAAGACAACATCTAAACACAAGATAAAGTTACATGTATCTTTACATTAAGAAAAGCTGTAACTGTCATGCCAACATTGAACAGCATAGAAGAGAAGGAATTTATGCTCATCTATTAATAGCAGAGAATTACATATGAGAGGGATATTAAATGTGACAAAGAGTTACATGTATGTAATGGTACTCCTCGAATGTTGATTGAAGACATTATACCCTAGTGTGTATCAGACACGAGAACAGATGATCAATGGTAAATTGTGACTGCGAAAGATTGCTCTGGGGTAATGCGTGATTGACGAGACAGATGTAACAGTACAAATAGAAAAGCACTAACAACATTACCGTGAGTCAATGGTGATGTGAAAAACGCATGATCGTGATGCTTATTACATTTTGGTCATGGTGCCAAGTGGAATGCTTGTTTCTAATGGATGTTAATAAAATACGGGGTGAACATTTTACATGAGTTAAGTGACAAGTTACGATATTATGTTGATATGGTTTTGCAAAAATGAATCTAAAACTTGTGTTGAAAGAAGTTATATTAGATACAGGAACAGTTTTACCTCAAGATACTGGAGTTATCGTGAAAGATGAACTACAGTCGTATGGAAATACTAAGTGTTCTTTTCATCTTTTCAGTAGTATAATACTGAATTTACTCAATTTAAGAAATGTTAAAACACTTTAGTTGAGCGTAGCGCAAATGTTCTGTTCAAGTCACCACAGGGGATATAACGGGTGGGGTGAGGGGTGTGTGACGTTAGGATGCAAGACCAATGTGAGACACGCTGTCCCATGACCTCACGCAGAGCCACTGGACACCCCATTGCCATTAAATATGCCCCAGTGTGGAACTGTTCTCACCAGACATCTAGCTGTACTTACGTCTTGGAATGAGGTCAGAACGCGGGGAACAAGCTTCTTTCCACCTGTGAAGAAACGAGTGGCGTTGATTCGGTACCATCCGCGATTATGGGAAGTGTTTTCTGCTATCTTCTTGGCAGCAATTTTGGCAGCTTCTTCTTCTGGGAGTTCGTCAATATGACCTAATTCCTGCAAGTAGGAGTATTAATTGCATTTACGGTCCCCTTCACAACATGTCAAATTGACTCTCTACAACTTATCATTATACACGGACACATATCGACTTGTGACTGACGTGCTACCCTTTCTGTTCTATAAATAGAAAATATGTACCACCCATTTTGCATGTTACACCAAATTTGAGCGCAGCTGACATCCCCGTGTGGACCCGTGAAGATCCGGGTTAGAATTGGTCTTCATGCTTGTGGTAAGCGGCGACTAACGGGATCGGGTGGTAAGCGGCGACTAACGGGATCGGGTCGTCAGGGTCGCACACATGGTTTGACACATGTCATCGTATCCCAGTGTCGTAGATCGATACTCATGCTGTTGATCACTCTATTATCCGATCGTGACTCGATTATTTGGACCGTCCCCAAATAGCTGGAGTATTGCTGCTTGCGGCGTTAAACAACAAACAAACAAAACATCCCTATGTGCACGGCCGGTATATTATTACCTTAGCCAAAGTCAAGAGTTCAGCATCCCCATGGACATTCTCGTTAGTAGAGGTACCAGGTTGTCTTTCCTCCGTATCTTTATCCTCTGAAACAGCAGACAACTTCCAATCAGGAATTCCACAGTAACATCAACATATTTACAACGATGATTTGTGCCCTCGTGCACCAACAAGCTCAAGCATATTATCAAGCATGTGCACACGCGAGTTCATTACATTAAAAAAAAACACTTTAGGAAAGACGGTAGTCTATTCTTAATGCTTTAACAAAATGATTTAGAAGTATCATGAGTTCATCAGTATAAAATGTTAAAGTAAAAAAATTCGATATTAGTCTGTTGATCAAACTATTATGTATGAGAGGAGGGTTACATCACTTTGTGATGATATCGTATCAAACACACAAACAGATAAAAAAGGAAAACCAACAATAGTTAGGTAAAAGAAATGATGATTAATAAGGTATCCATGGGAACGATACACTTTGCTACAAAAGGCCTCAAATACATTTCATTTCTCATATAATGGGAAAAAGGCATTCTTGGTATTATGAAAATGAAATGGGAATGCTTTGTAATCACAGAAAAATGGTTACGGATATAAAAGCATCTGAAGCATAAATCGCAAAAAGTTGAGCCAAAAAATGTGTGCATTAAAATAACTGTATTCTTCCTTGTCATGCACAAAACAAAACAGTAAAATGCAATTCAGACGCGTTCATGTTGCTTTGGTATGACCCTTCTCTTTGACAAATAGGGTTTGGGCAATGTAATTTGATTTAATTCAAAAGGGTGTACAAACTGACAGCCAAATGAAACTTTACCTAATTGAAAGTAGAATGGCCAAAACATTAACAGATATAATGAGATAAGACCAGTTGTAGAATCACAGCTTCAACACAGCCTTACTGCTGCCTGAACATGCGTCTTGTTCAAACCAAAATAATAGTGTCTCAACCGGAAGAGCGTTCAGAACGTTCTTGCTTTCAGGCGTAAGAAAATGGTACCGTATGGCATCACGTTTACACACTGGCGATACCCATTCTCTGATTGCGAGAATGACACCAGATGAGCGAGCTGTAGGCGACAATGATGGGAACAACCTTCACCCATGCAACGACGACCTTCGGGTATATCCATGTTGCCGTCATAATCCTGATGCAGCGGTGCAGTCCATGTCAGACATGAGATATGAGACATTTTGATAACGGTTAGGCCGTGTAGATCCCATGACGACAGGTATCTACATCTGTGACATGGAGATTGCAGCGGACCCTGCAGACCAAACAGACCACCACTGTTAGCGCAACCTCAGAGGCTGAGACTGACTGAGTTTGGTTTTACGCCGCTTTTAGCAATATTCCAGCAACATCACGGCGGGGAACACCAGAAATGGGCTTCAAACATTGTACCCATGTGGGGATTCGAACCCGGGTCTTCGGCGTGACGAGCCAACGCTTTAACCACTAGGCTACCCCACCGCCCCTCAGAGGCTGAGAAAGAGATGAGATCAGATTGTCCGGCGTTGGTAAATACAGGATTGGTGACTGGTCTTCAAGCGTTGACTACTTATTCAGATCACACAGCAGACAACGAATGTGTCGCTATAGGTGAACACATGGTCAGCGACTACGAAGTCGGCCCTGTTTGAGGCAACGGTGTCATTGTTTGAGGTGGACATGATAATTGAAACTTAAAATATTCCGCGATTCAGCGACGAACATCATTCGTCCTTACGTGCCGTCGTTCAAGAAAGCAACGGGCAGAAGGAGCCCTATTGAAAAGTGATAATGTCCAAGGTCACACTGACGGTATTGCAAGGACGTCGTTAACGTCATCAGCATATGCGATGTCAAGCACGTCATCCAGATATAGAAGGATGTTATATGCGGACGTAGACCTCCGATTGACGGTAAAATGAGCTAATTCGCTGACGGAAAAAATGACGAAGCATCTCGTATGACGTTATAACGAGGATACCGTGCTTGTATTAAGGCACGGGAGGTCATACACGTCATCAGGTAGGCTTATCAACCATGGGGTAACTCGGACACGTGTACCCAAAAGGTACCATATTTTTGTGTCAGGTATTAGTGTTTTAATTTAATTATGACAATTACATCCTTTGAAAAATTTCTTTTGGCAGTCAGTTTAAATAAAATATATACAAAAGACTTGACTGTAAATATTATTAAAAATGAGAAAATGTCAAAAAGTCAAAACAAGCAGAGTAAGATAACCCTTAATGCGGCGTAGTGTGTACCCTGAAACAAGAGTAACACTACCTAAACATTTAGAAAAATATATCAATTGAGAATATGTGAGGGTCCTGATGGAATTGATAAACGTAAAGGAAATAGCAACAACAACAACAACAGACACAACACCAAAACTACATTAACAGAGCACTAGTGTAGACTATGTAATCAAACGTGTATTGTTGAAGACAACGTAACGTTATAGAACGTAAGATGTCCTATAAACCGATCAGTGTAAATTAAAACGTAATTGAGCTAAAATCTCGTAAAAGTTGTGTCGAGGTGGTTCAAATGGTACAATACAATTAGTGGTTGCCATTCACTAATTACGAGCTGCATAATGAAACGAAAGCAGAATCAATGGTCCCCACGATTCCTTGCAGAGATAATTTCTTGTTTTAGACTGCTTGGCAAATTACTCGAGTGATTTTTGTGCTGGACCTACACAAATCATGTCTGATTGTTGCCCCAATGTTCACTGGCTACTCCCGTGTTGCACCCTCCATCAAGACCCTCATATTTGTAATATATCCCGTATTGGGAACAGATGTTTAATATCGGATTATTCTTTTTGTTTGGCAAGTGCATGACAATTAGCAGTATGGATGGGGTTAGCGAGATCTATATGAACGTTAGAATCATTCCAGAGTAGGCTACTTGCATTGGCTAACAGGCGGTGAAGATGCGTTCCAATGGATACTAGTATGTGAATATATACGATGATTAGATTACGTGACGGCCAACAAGCAACTTGTGATGTGTGTGAGTGAACATCTACAAAACTGGTGACTATTGTACGTCAACACTCGCTAACTAGAAGCCCTCGAACGTGAACTAAGGACTAAAACGTACATTAAATAATGTTATAGTATATGCTGCTGTGGGCTCATATTTTTAATTTTGCTTGCATTATATAAATATGACAACCAACAAGCCGTCGTTATTAACATAACAAATGTTTTAAAAACTGAATAGATTTATCAGATTCATTTGAAAAAAATGCTCATAGAAGTTTAAAAACAAATCATGCCAGCAAATTATTTTTAATTTACAATATACCATACTACAGCAAATAAAGCACACTCGTTCAAAACGACTTCAATAACTATCAGAAGCAAAATGTCATCAAAGTCACTCCTACACCGACTGATCTCAGCTTAGTGTGTTCTACCTGAGGCATCTCCGGTCGCCTTCTTTGTATACCGCTCTGCAAAAGACAAGCCTCTATTCATTGACACCTGAGAACACCCAGCTGAGTAAAGTGCAGAATGCACCGCCACCTTGAACTACTGTTTCAAGATCAGAATAGGGAGATAGAGGTCAGGTATTCGAGGTCAAGGTCAGGTTTCCGAGGTCAAGGTCAGACTTTTCAAGGTCAAAGTCAGGTTTGCGTGTATAAGGTCTCGACTGGCAGGAAAAGGTTAGTTAAGCAGGTCAAGGTCGGGATTAAGAAGCGATGTAACAGCAGATGGAGAATGCGATATGTTTCTGTAACTGTTGAGGTATGATATGATTTAGGTGTATTATCAGTCCTGGTACAGACGGGGAAGTGTGGTATTTATAGGTAAGGCTGTCCATTCTGAAGGTTAAGGGTTATAGGATTGGATTGTTCGCTGTTATCAGTGTTGGTATCACATACAGACTGTACGGTGGCTTCCTATAAGAAAGGAGTAGATACAAGGTGCAGAAAGGTTCGAAAGGACCACAACAAAAATAATGGATTTTAGAGGCAAATAAATAGTTTCATTCTTTTGTGTGGCCATTGTGCTTCATGAGCATGATTGAACCTCAGAAGCCATGTGATCGCGGGTAGGCGTCACACGTGTAGTGATTTACTGTCACAAGCAAATGTTTGCTGCCCAGGAAGCCAATGCCCACACCGAGTCAAAGGGAGATGGCTTTGTCCTAACGCTAGATGCAACTGGCAGGGTGACTGATGGCACTATCAGGAATCACTCAAGACTTCATTGTCCATCAACCTTTCATATCCAAAACCTTATCAAGCTGTTTTGGTAATGGAACATCCACCGCTTCTGACTGATGCACATGGTCGCTCTGCATCCCTTTTCCTGGATATCTTGGCATTTCTCTACGTGTGAACAGAGGTGATATAATGCCCGATTAGGAGCATACAATCAGGAAACAGTACTGTTCCCTGCCACGTACATTGGTAGGCGCCTGACCCGGACTTAGTGTATAAGGACATTTATCAGTCAGATTACGAAGATTTAAGTATGAACATATAGCTGATTTAGCGCCCCAATGTTGCACTCTGGAAATATCTACATACTACAATACATCGATGATATTTTCCAATCTGATGATATTGAAAAAATCGAAGCACAGAGCGAAATATACCGTATTGTCGATAGTGGTGTGTTGGAACGGTGGTCTGGAAAGTCTTACATTGTTATTTAACTAAGGCCGTAAGCCAGGAATCGTCAAGCAGTGGGACATATTGGCGAATTGGTAGATGATGCATTGTGAGAAATATTTATGATTATTAAAAAAAAAAGTTACCAATGCATTAACTTCATATTTTAGAACGTCGTCATATAAGAGAAATATTCTCAAGCACGACGATAAACTCAATTTCACCTCACCTCACCTCCTATTTTAGAAACAACAACCAACATTTAGTGAATTTATTGCTGTCCAGTCCACCCTCCTGCTGTTGATTTCACCTGGTAAATGTCGGCTATGTTGATAAATAACATGCGGATTATACATATAAAACATGCAATAGAGTGAGTTATTGCTGTCATTAATAAACTTAGCCAGAGAACCATTTAACAAGATGATATTAATATAAATAAGTATCAAATGAGAATTAAGTTTGGATGCTTTACCCTTTCAAATCAATTTTGGGGCAGTTGGTTCTGTTTATAGGCAAACAGGAAACTTTTCGTAAATGTTGTCTTGAAATATTATTTCTATCGGTCGCGTCTCAATTTCAATCGAGGTAATCTCAACAGATTATGTCGTGACAGTTACATAATGAATGTAAAAGATATTTACGAAGACAAGTCAATAACGATAACGAGTTGAAACATATTTTAGATTCACAACAGAATTGCCAGGCAAGAGATAATAATAATAAGTCATCATCTATAGCGCACAGTCTCCAAACACCAAGTGATTGCTCGCGGCGCTTAATCAGAATCCGATTCTTATGACCCCGGATAACCCAAGCTGCCTCTTTGGCGCTAGAAGGTTATAGTCACATGACTTTGGCAAATTGGACTGGACCAAACTCTACACACCTTGCTCAAACTTACTACGCTGAAAACACCCCGAACAAATCCAAATTTAAGTCCCAAAACACGGGTGACAATTGTCCTGCTCCCCCAAAACACAACTATGATATCTGTTACTACCATCTAGCCTTTTAGTGTACGTTCTTTACTTAGTTGTAATGTCTCCGGTTGACCGCCATACTCCGTCGAATCAAATATGAGATAGATGTGTAATTCATATATTCAATAAACTGTGTGCGGATCAAAGTAACTGTTATACCCCTTGTTGTTGCGTTAGGGTTGTTTGTAGAACACCATCATCTATCATGAAGTTAAATGGTTCTATTGGCTACTTAGTTATCTTTGTTTCGGTTTCCATACATGCAACTTAATGTCACTGAATACATTTCAGACACCAACCACCGTGCAGTGTTAACATACGAGAGCTGCTACATTTCATATATATTGCCAAGACACAAATAAAGGTTTACATAAATCAAATGACAACATGTATAAAGGAAACTGTCGAAACTAACTTAAATGTTTTCAGTGACGTAACAAAGAATTCCTTAGAGGACAAGGGATGACTCGTAACATCGAACATGCATTTCTTAGTGATATATGTTTGCCACAGTTCAAACAGGTAATGCGTTAAGTGAAAAAAATAATTGATTATATACCGGCGCGCGCACACACAAATTTACGACATAACAGTTAAATATGATGTTAAGAAAATTAATAAAAGAAGAGAATAAAATAAATAAAATACACCAAACATACACCCGTGTTTACAGTAACCGTTACATAAAATTGTCATATTTCATTTTGTAAACGCACATATTAAAACCAGTTCTTTATCATGTATCTCTGTGATGGATCACAAACGTCTAAAACTATGACATTCAAACGAATAATGTCATCTTTTGATTCACAAATATACACGATTCTCATGTCTCGCCTGCAAAGAAACAATATCAGGAACACACAGGCAGGGACCCAAAGGTTTCATGGTTTTTTCCCACCGCCAATGACAATATGACACGTGCCATTAGCTAAAAATATAACGATATAAATATTTAACCACGGCTGATGCCTTCCCCGAGTGAGTGACTGATGTTTAATACCGCAGCGTTACTGTTATATGACGGTGTGTGATGTTGATGTTTCTAAGGGAGACAACTCTGCAAGCCTTTTCGTCGCTTTAGAAAACTGGACCATCACTGCCCCATTAAATGAAAATAATAAATATGATGGATTTAAATTTCCCGAAATGTATGCTCTTAATTATTCAAATTTCTCAATTGAAGAACATGGCACATTAATTCATTCCGATGTGACTATCGCGAAACGTATGTACTGAAACCAAATTTGCCGAGGTCATAAGCAGAAGCTGCGTATTAATTAATAATGATTACATATAAGACACTTACCTAAGGAAATGCCAACAAAACCAGGCTCTTCGCGTTTGCTTTTCTTCATGCAGAAATCCTTATCAGCAATGTAGGCGACAATGATCAGGGTTGGAAACATCAGGAAGGTGACAATGGCCTCCCAAAGTTCAACAACATTGGGGGATATAGCCATTAAAACGATGGCCAGCCACACATAGGCGAAGATGCAAGTGAAGGCTGTGACGCCAAACACTTTGTAGCTACGGATTCTCCTGATTTCTCCATCAGGGATTGATACAATGCAGATGGCAGAAATCACTAGAAGGTTAAAGGCTGCGGAACCTACGATGGTTCCTGGGCCAAGTTCTCCAGCTCTGAAGCCATTACCAATGATTTCTATGCAGGACAGAAGGATCTCTGGAGCACTTGTTCCCAAGGCCAGAAGACTCAAGTTGGCTACAGTATCATTCCACACCTTCACTTCCAGTTCCCTGATTCCTCCTTCGGCATTTGCATCTGGAACTCGAACTATGGTCGTCTTGCTGGTGATTCTTTCTATAGAGCACATGAATACATCAGCGATGATTGCGACTGCAAGAAAGCACCACAGGAGGCCCAGGATGTAGAGGAAGGCACGGACCTCAATTGCCCAGGTGAACTCGCTGATTACAGGGAGCAGGAGAGCCACATCTGAACAGGTGTAGTTCTTGACGAGTTCTTGAAGCACCGCCTGGCTGATGTCTTGACTTCCGGTACTATTCGCCATCTTGGCGTACTTTCTACAGACTCTACTGTTGCCCAAACTTTAAATCTGCAAAGGAAATTGTACACATGTAAAAGACATATCCAAATAACCACGTGTATTGGGGATAGAAGAAATAAAGTAACTAAAGGTCGAACTGCCTCACACGTATCCTGTCGACTGTATGGGCAGGGCAGCCCAAGAGCACATACTAAAATTACTCGTTATTGTAACATAACAATAACCTGACTACGATATGTCGTAAGCGGGCTGTGGCCGTTGCGGAAAACGTCAGCACGTCTTTTATTAGTTACTGATATGTCGTCACACATCACCTACTGCATTGTCGTCAGAATATCTATTCACACAACAACCAGTTTTCCCCTATATTATATATACGTCTAACAATACAAACTTCCTTGTGTGTGCTGTATTCCGATCCTAGTGACCCAACTGTTTACTGATATCTAAAACAGCACCATATATGGTATGTAATAGCACATACTGCCATCAGACTCATTTGTTATCCGTACTTTATAGATTAACATCCTAAATGTGTATTCACTGACTGAATGTAAAATATCACTGATAAATTACTCCAGTGCCAGCAGGATACAATATCCCGGTGCCCAGTCAGTCAAATCATTTATAGCTTTCAGTGATGAGTTACTTCCCCTGAGATTGCCATAATCGTATGATCTAGGGTTCAAATCCCAATACGCTTTTGTTTCTTGGTTTGTCGGCACTAGTACCCATCGTCTCGTAAACATATTTCGACAAAAAGAAATCTTAGGCATTCGAGGGTATTAGGAGATATTACGTATATGAGCTCAACTTTAATATAATCTCATGCTCTAAACATTTGAATCATGTAGTGATGTGAATACATTTAAAGAAATATTTTCCCGTGATCACGTATAATCTAATTGACGTGCGAAAAGTAGTTTGCCATGAACATGTATATTCTAACTGACATGCGAGAAATGATTTGCCATGAGCATGTATAATTAACTGACATGCGAAAAGTAGTTTGCCATGAACATGTATAATCTAATTCACATGCGATAGATTCATTTGTTTGCCATGAGCATGTATAGTCTAATTGACATGTGTGAGAAATAGTTTGCCATGAGCATGTATAATCTAACTAAAATGCGATAGATTATTTGCCATGAGCATGTATAGTCTAATTGACATGCGAGATATAGTTTGCCATGGGCATGCATGTCATTTTCATGTGTTATATCAACTGCACTGGCTACCGAGGGAACCAGGAAGTATACGAACGGGGTTTTATCAAACTTCCATTTTTACGCTGACGTAATATTACGAAATGTCTAGCCTACGTCAGCAGGCTTATTGAATGTAATCTTCCTGGTTGTCATAGAGCCAGCAAATGCGGTATAATGACGGCATGCGTGCGTGACGTTCAAAATGATTGTTCAGATGAAAGAGGTACTTAGAAAGAACTTAAATATAGTGCCATAACAGTGTTTAATGGTGTCCAAAACAACTTCCTGGTAATTTTGTCGTCAGTTGTAATCTTTTCATGTTCACAGTGACAATAAAACACGGCGTAGTATTTAAATAGCGTGTTCATGACTCTTGACTTTTGTCGCTTCTATTTCGAAGATTCGAGGTCGATTTTCTGAAGTAGCACAATGTTTATGTCCAATTAAGGTGTCTGTCAAATAGGTATTACAGGAATATTACTCGAAGCGGTGTAAAGCCATGCTCCTCCATTTCGTGAATAAAAACGACAAATGACTGAGTTGACTGTAAATTCTTCCAAGCGTTAGGGAAGACACTTTGTGTTTCATACGAGTCCAGCTGTATTTCTCTTCGGTATAAACGGAGTGAATGAATGAGTGAAATTTGGAGCAACCATGGAGAGTATACCAGTTATATCACAACGCATCAGATTGATATGGGGTAGCGATGTTAACTCGTGTAGAATTTATCGTATTAGTGTACTGACAACTGAACATAGGTTCATATTACAGGCGCATCTGACTCGAATTCTCAATCAAAGGATCAAAGCACGATTAAGGGACGCATCTCTTTTAGAGTGAGTGAGTGAGTTGAGTTTTACGCCTCACTCAGCAATATTCCATCTATATGGCGGCGGTCTGTAAATAATCGAGTCTGGACCAGACAATCCAGTGATCAACAGCATGAGCATCGATCTGCGCAACTGGGAACCGATGACATGTGTCAACCAAGTCAGCGAGCCTGACCACCCGATGCCGTTAGTCGCCTCTTACGACAAGCATGGGTTACTGAAGGCCAATATTCTAACCCGAACCTTCACGGGTTCTTTTAGAGATATTGACGTCGCCTTAGATGAACGGGTCACTCGTGTCCTCATAAACAAAGATTAACACCCTTTATAACTAACAGTCTTGAACATATGCCTCGACCTTCGGCAAAGCCAATGCCGAAATCGAACACTCAATCACGCATACGTTTAGATCTACAATATGTTCTACCCTTCTAAAGTACGATTACGATAATACATAATATACTGAAGCACTTTAATAACACATAAAGTTTTTTAAGCATAGTTTTAAAAAGAGAAGAAGATAACAAACGTGAATGAAGTATCTTAGGTTTGAAATTATTAAAAACGTGTTTTAGACCTATTGTCCGAGTTCAAATCCTTTGCATGTTTTTTTATGCAGACAAAATCGCTAAAACACACCTTGCCCCCGTTACGTTGCCAATGCAGTGTGATCGTGAAAATGAAAATGCACGTGCTTTGTCCGAAGTCTCATGCATTTAAGGCAAGGGCATCAATGGTACATAAGCGATTTGAAACAATGCCACGACTGAATTTACAGGAATGGGAACGTGCAATACTGAACACAATTTATTGATAACAACTCACGAAATAAAAGAAGTTGCTATCCATAAAGTTTGATCACTATTGTACTTCCCAACTTCTAAAATGTCACTCACAGAAATGGGAACGTGCTCTGGGACTGCTCAAAGCAGGGACTTCACAGACTATCACATACTCTAGTATACTACATCGCATTAAACCAGGGAACTATGGGCAACTATCAATATACAGAGAAAGGGGTGAAATACATTACACTACCATGTACGGTACATCGCCCTAAGCCAGGGAAAGGCTCAGTACACCTGTTGAAATTGACATGATATATACATGTCCTGCTGGGCAATGTATTAACTTCCCTCCTTGGAATGCCTCTTTCGCCCACACCTGACCCACTTCAAAGTAATGAGTGTTCCCTTGACATCTCCCATTCATCGCGTATTGTCACAAGATACGTCCTTCTGAGGTTCAGTCATTGTGACTCAATTCACCATATTGACATCATTACTGGGCGACACGTCTGCCGTGCACGCAAGAAGATGGGGGTCATTGTGCGGGTAGAATGGGGCACTTTGTTGTGTGTTCTCAAGATAAGACTCGTTATTAAATTGTGGAATGATTGCGCTCCATGAGTTTATGCGTCCCCTTTACAGATATAGAAAAAAGCCGAGGTCATGAAAATCGTCTGTGCATCTGTGCAAATATCACTTCACGAGAACCAGTGTATCATTTTACGTCAGCAACAGTAATGGACGTCATTCGAATCTTATTGTGACGTGAGGTCAGATTGACGTCACACAGAAACGATCTAATCACTGAAGACTGTTGACGTCATTTGATGATTTTAGTTTTCATCGGTGTACTTTTAAAGGTCAGCTCAAAAGGATTAAAAATAAAGGGTAATAAACATTTTATTTAACTCGCATGGGTGCCGTGATGATTTTGGAAACTCGTCTGAAAATTCATGTTTTACCGTCGATCGTGCTCAGGACATTCGTTCCGTGAAATCAGTAAGACTCACAATCTTGTATAATTAATTCTATATAAATCTTGTAAAATAATTAATTCGAAAAATATGACTGGAATTAGGGACATTTCCATCCACCCCAAAATTGCCACCCCGCCTCACTGTTTGAAAAATAAAATGGACACAAAGCCTTCTCAAATTGCTATTGTTAAAAGTTTTAGTGTGTCCTGATCTTTGATCTAGCTCAAGCATTGAGTTTTGATAGCATGATGACTGGACAGGATAAACACTAAAGAATCCGGTAGTTTGAAGGACATGTGCGTGAGGTAACTTGAGGGATACGGTAAGTAATATTACCGATATGAGAAAAATCAGGTTGAATGTACAATCTCTGTTGCCATAAACTATTGGCAACTGTGATTCCAGCAGCATGAAGATTAACCTGAAAAAATGGCATTAATTAAGTAAAGCCAAAAGGTTCCCATTACCTGATAAACACCGGGGACTAAGTAAACAAACAAGGGCATTGCGGTTTCAATAAACGCACTTTAGTGCGAAGCACTAAATGAATACATGCGTGCACGAAGTAATACAAGTGCAGGCTTTGTGTGTCAGCGGTATTCAGGGCTTCGTATAACCCAAGCGTAAAGAACACCATTGCTTTTCTCTTACAGAAAAATAGCGTTCAATCGGAACATTGAGGCATGAGAGTCTCGTTGATATCTGTGCAGTTAGTAGGTTTCATACACAAGGCCTATAACTATTTATTTATTTATTTATTTATTATTTATTTCCTTGACATGAAGAGATCCTACAATACATCTAAGTACAGATTCAGACCGACATAGCCGCCATCTGTCGTGAATACATAATGGATGTATTCAGTACTGTGCTAGTATTGGAGTACGTGATAGTAGGTCAAGCAGTCTCTGTGACTGTCTGGGTCGATCTTGTGGCTTATTTCAATAGCTGAAGTATTTGTCGAAGATTTGATAGAAGGGATGAAAGCTCTTGCTGGTTAACGAGAGAATAAAATAGTTTTATACCACGTTATGGCGTATCACACAAACATTGATTGCATCGGCGTAGATATGAAATCAGTTTTATATCGTGGACATTGTTATAGGAAACAGGTGTCATTTATCGTCTCAATATAACTGAACAACAACTGACTATTGTCATATAGGTGTCTTTTGTTAGGAACACAAGAGTTTCTTTTATACTGCCAAATTTCATGATCTAAACACGATATTTTTACAGGAT